TTGCCAGAAGAAAACACAGATGTTCTCAGGGTTTAGCTTGCAATCGCAGTGGTAGCAGTAGCAACCTACTTCTACTTCTTCAAGGCTAAGTGGCTTTGAGCTGGTGTCAGTGTACGCTTCATTGCCATTGCCCCTCCCCACACACCGTAACACCCCTAAACTAAACGTTAAAGAGCCTTGCAGTCCCGGGAATACAGAAGCAGGTGACTGCTTTCTGCAATCGTAAGGAATGATGCACAGGTGTTTTTGGTGTTCCACCACGGGAGTCGAGTCCAAATCTTGTAAACCCTAAATAAACCTTATGAGAAGTTCGAAGCCACATCACAGCGTGAAATCAATATAGCCTGCAGAGGCAGCTGGCCCCCCCAAGGCGGGTTTGCGAGACTGGAGATATGGGCCAGTTGGCGGCTGTAGAGTCGGCTAGACATGACAGTTGCGACGTCAAGCCCTGTGCGCATACTTTAGGCGGGCCTGTGTTATGAAGTCCACTTCTGAAGTCCTTGTGGCCCAAGTCGGCGTCGACTGGCAAATTCATGTCCGGCCGTTCATACGATGTTGCGTGCCTTGTTGGTCCATGCTGTCATGGCTGTTGCAATGCGGCAGGAAGTTCGCAGATCGCAGTTGCAGCCCAATGCCACAGGCGATCTCGAAGCCATCTTCAAAGTCGCTGGCACGACTGTGACAGGCTTTACAAGAAAGACTTTCGAGCTTCTGGACAAGCATCAAGCGGAAGTGCATGTTGAGGATGTCTGCGTTTCTGCGGTACCAGAAGATGCCAGCACTCCGATGTATGGTTTCCGGCCCATCTATGGGAGCATCCAGAGAGCCCAGATGGTGCCCAACTTCCTGTTGCAGGGCCTTCTTCGAGCAGCGGGATTGCAAGACCTCGAAGACTTGAATGTTGTGGAGGTAAAGATGAGGCCTACGTGCATGGTACATGGCCGCCTGGCAGGCAAGCCAGGTGAATATCTAAAAAACTGTCGCATCTTAGTTGAGCCCTTTGCAGTTTGGTCATGCACCGCTGCCGTCACGATCAGTCAAGAAGGTGGGCCGCATAATGTCGGAACATTTGAGAGCCCTGTGGCCATGGTCAGCTTGAGCGCGACGGTGAACATTGCGTGCAAGTTTCAAAGCATGCAGACCACAGTCGTCTTTGATTTCTATGCCGATGGGAGGATCGAAACGCGTGACTTGAGTTGATGCCTGCTGTGAGGGCAGGAGACAAAATGAGAAGCATACCGCATTCACTGCAAGCTTTATATAGTATGCTTGAGTATAGAAGCCTAGACCTTAAACCTTAAACCCTAGACCTTCAACCTCGAGAGTCGTGGAGTATGCTAGGAGAGCAAAGCAGAGCAGAGCAGAGTAGAGCAGAGTAGAGCAGAGTAGAGTAGAGTAGAGTAGACCAGAGTGGAATAGAGTAGAATAGAGTAGAATGGAGTAGAATAGAGTAGAATAGAGTAGAGTATGTGTGCTGACGAAACAGTAGCATTGGAGATCATTGGAGCACCCGGCGAACTTGAGAGGTCCTGGGATGATTGAAACATATGAGCTCTCGGAGGTTTTGGGTACTAGGGTTTAGGGTTTGGGGTTTGGGGTTTGGGGTTTAGGGTTGGGTGTTCAGGGTTTAGGATGGTCGTTACCCTACACATCGGAGAAGTGCGTCGATAGATGCGTCGGCGCGTGAGGTTTGCAGCGCAAAAAACACGCTCTGGCCAAGGCCCTTTGGTTCAGAGTTTCCGTTGACTGACACTTTTGTGTACATGGGACGGGTAGTGGAGAATGTCGCGTGCCCTGCTGGCCATGATCCTTTCCTTCATGGCTGCTGGCCTGCACGAGGATCTTCTCATGCCGAGCCCAGGTGATCTCGAAGCCACCTTCGAAGTGGCCGGCAACTATAGCCCCCGTAGGAAAGCCTTTTTCTGTTTATATTTACATAAATAAAACCCAGAAGTGTTAAAGCATAGTATTTTTGTGAAGGTTCTAAGGGGAGTGTAGGCAAAGTGGTGGACTACATCTCCCGAGCAATCGATCTCGCTGACAAGCTCAAAGGGGCGTCGGAAGTGCAGGAGGTCCGCATATCTGCCAAGCCACGAGATGTAAAGTGGGAGGACATGGCAGGTTGGAAGCGGGTTTGGGGCAGGAGCGTGACAGTCGCCTTGTACCAGCCATGGCTGTTCAGCAACGTTGTGGAAGTCGAGATGACGCCCACTTGCCATGCGCTTGGCCACCTGAGGGATAAGCCCGGTCAATACCTCTCGCATTGCTACATCGTAGCTAAGCCGGAAGTGGCCCCTTCATGCAGTGCCACGCTCAGGATCACCCAAGTCGGCAATGAAGAGAACGTTGGGACGATCGAAAGCCCGGTCGTCATGGTCAGCTTGAGTGCAACAGTGAGTATGGCGTGCAAGCTCCAGCGGAAGGAGGCCACGGTCATGTTTGACTACTACGCAGACGGAAGGATTGAAACGCACGATCTGACTTGAACAAAAGCTCGTGACCCCGCGCCCTCTCGTATTAGCGCCAACTCCCCCTGCGGCTGTTGTGAAATTTCGTGCTTGTGATGAATCATACTATGCTGCCTACGACTTGCTTAAACCCTGAACCCCTAGACCCCAAAATGAAAACATTTGCCTCCCGCACGAGCCCGTGCACAGCAGATGGATCTTAATGCGGAGCTTGTCAGGGCTATGGAGCGCATTACGCCCAGGTGCCTGGGTTTAGGGTTTAGGGTTTAGGGGTTAAGGTTTGAGGGCACCCGAAACCCTAAACCCCAACGCCTAGACCTGGAATCTAGAGCCCGAGTGGCCCAAACACCATCGTCGCCTCCGTGGAACCCTCACCTCCACCTTCCTTCCTTTCGCGAATGTAGGGTCTACGGGGTTGAGGTTTTAGTGGCTTGATACAGTAGGGTTGAAAGGGTTTAGGGTTGTGGGCTTAGAGATCCACAACGCCTGTCCAATTCGAACCTTACGGCCCCCATGGCCCTTTGAAGGGAGCCCCCTAAACCTCTATGGCCCCTACATCAGCTAAGCGCCCACGAAAACTCCAAACCCCTAGCACCTTTGAACAAAAGCACAGTTTCAACGTTTTTAGACCGAGAAGTGGAGGGCTTGAACCCGAAACCCATCAAACGAAGCTGTCGAGTATCTCGGCGTGATCCGTGACGTCGCGACTCGAACTCACCGTATTCCTGTTCCTGAACCATGATTGTTTATCATGGGTCATGCCCTCGAATTTATACTACAGCGAAATAACTTGGTCATGTGGCCTCTCATGCTCCCCAGATGTTTTTTGCTGGTTGAAAAGAGCTTTACCGCCGCCGCGAGCTGGACGTGCAAACATGCGCACCCGCGCTCTAGGGTCTAGGGTCTAGGGTTCTAGGGTTTAGGGTTTAGGGTCTAGGGTTTAGGGTTGCTTCAGCCTACACTTGACGACGGAGGGTGTTAGAGTATCGACTTCCTGAGCGCAAGGTAGCATGCTAGCCTTGTGTAGAGTTGTATGGGCACGTGTCCTCGATTGGCGATGGGCGGTTGCGCTTGAGACAGCCGCGGTTTCCTAAACTTATGGAAGCGTGCGTTTGTTGAGGGCAGAAGTTCGAGCAGTACTCCATGAAGCGGACGTCAGGGCACCTTGGTGCAGAGGTTCGTGTTTTGGCTTCAGTCTCCCGGAACCGCTTGCTTCTCCTTGAAGAGCATCTTTTTTTTTTTCCAGCTGTCCGGCAACTGTTTCAGGGTGAGTTGTGGCATGCCGAAGTGTTTCAACCGTCTCGATGTGTGCCGTACATTGCAAGCTTCCAATACTGAGCGTGACGCTCCACGCTGCAGATAGCGTGTCCCGCAACTCCAAATATTGTCCTAGTTGCAAGGTCATAGGCGATTCCAAAACCTGTCCGCAGCCACAAGGTTATCTCAAGCAGGGGTGAGATTTCCAAGGAACATATAGAGGAGGTGAGGCTCAGAGAGATGGGGCAAATAAAAGGCAAGAACCAAAAAGGCTCAACGAAGCTTTCCACCCTGCTTCACAGGCTATCTGCAGCTTTTCAAGGTCCCTCCGTTGTGACGAGTATTCACTTGAATAGCCAACATTCATGATCGCAGGCCGTTTGTAACAAAGTTGGCTTTTCGCAGTGAATTGGTGCTCCGTAGGCCCTAAACCCTAAACCCTAAACCCCTTCGGAGCTTGTGTCGCCATCCGAAGCAAGCAACAGCTTGGACTGGGCTTCGCCATGCGCACGGATGCTTCGCAGGCTGCCTGCCCGGCGTCTGGGGCGCCGGGGCTTCGCGCGGGCCGCGAAGCAGCCGAGCGACGAAGAGTTTCTCGAAGTCTACGACTCCTGGCGGCACGGGAAAGTCGGCAAGGTCCCCCCGTCGGCTCTGCAGCCTGCTTCCGCTGACTGGCTCTTGGCAAGCAAGGGGAAGGTCCTGCACAACACGGTCTTGGCAGCTTGTGGGCGCCTGCACCGTTGGGCAAAAGCCCTGGCAATCCTGCGTGACATGGAGCTGTTCGGAGCTTTGCGACCAGGACGTCGCGGCTTGATGGACAAGTTCTCCTACAATGCCACTTTGGGGGCGTGCGCTTCTGCCCATCAATGGGAAGCAGCCTTGGAGCTCTTTCTTGAAATGCAGCGTTCTGTCACTCCTGATGCTATCTCCTATTCGGCGGTGATTGAAGCTTGTAAAGGTGCTCGCAAGCAGGGCGTCGCCCAGCTCGCCTCCAAGTGGTCTGAGCCATGCTTGCAAGCGACGGTGTCCGAAATCAACCGTGACAGAACTTCCCCTCGCTACCGCTATGCCGTCCTCTCCACGCTGCTAAGACGCCAGCTTTGGTCGGAAGCTCTTGGCATCTTTTGGCACGTGGCGCATGCCAGGCCGCTGGACACCGCCCTCCTGAACATGGCGATCTCTGCTTATCAGTGCCTAGGACCTTGGGACACTCTTGAAATTTTTTCCCCTACTAGGAGAGGGTCTCATAGATTCATGAGTATCTTTCAGAGGGTTTAAGGGGCCAACCCGAGGTGCGGTTCGCAGACGGGAAGTGCGCTGATGCTTCTTCGCCGAGCTGGGGCACGGCTTGGGCAGCTCGTGCTGCCGGCTGCCAATCTGGACAGCTACATCCTGGCGGTTGTGTCTTAGTCTGTTGGCTAGCAGGGGATGAGAAATTAGGGCCATATATATATATATATATCACGAAAGCTAGCTCCTTGGAGCTCGCGAGAGTTGTCGTTTACAAGAATTCTCTCTAGTGTTCAGCTGGGTCAAGAAGCGACTCCGACCCTTAAGTGGTCTGAAAATCAGAGAGATAAAGGGCTGTGGAGGGGGGGGGGGGGCCCCTAGGATTGACAAAGTCAATCTTAAGGTGTCCCCGCCCCCCCCCCCCTCCTTTCAGGGTCACCTTAATTGATTTCTGGGGGGGGAGGGGGGGGCCCCCCCCCCCCCTTTTGGCCCCCCCACCCCCCCCCCCTTTTCAGGCTTCCCCCTCCGTCTTGGTCAGGCCCTGTTGTCGAGCTGTAAGGCCCCGGGATGAGCATTCGAATCCGCAGCTTCCGACAGCTCTTGACCGCTGCGTGTCCCATCATGTTTCGTTTTGCTTACACCGATTCGGCAGTCCCGTCCTGCTCGGCTGCGCTGCTGCGCCCGCACTTCTCCTGCCTGACTCGAAAAAAGCTTGCTTGTCAGCCGCGTTTCTAGCTTTCGTGGCCCCGATCTCAAGTATATATACATATATATAGAAATATGTACTCTTTAAGGGATAGCGTACCTCAGTCCCCAATTCCCTGCTAACCCACAGTAAGGTGTCCCAGGCAAAGCAGCACTCCTCTGGATGGCAAGTAGCTTTGACTCTTCTGGAAGAGGTATGCCGGTCGAGGCTGCAGCTCGACACGCAGATGTTTACCGTCGTAGCCGGTGCCTGCTCCAGGGCCTATTTCTGGAGCGCTGCTCTGGACATTCTCAGAGAATGTCGACATCAGTGCCTCGACTGGGACATGTTAGCATACAGCGCCGTTCTGCAGGCATCCTCTCGCTATTCAGCTGCGTCTAACATGAGCTTTAAGATGCTGTGGGGGCAGATGCAGCATCAACAAATCCAGCCCGACACCGTCACCTACGGTGCGGCCCTCGGACTATGCGAGCGGTCACACAGATGGGTCGATGCACTGCACCTGGTCAGCCAAATGCAGCGTCCAAATGCAATCTGCCTAACTTCGCTCTTGGCAGCGTGTGCCGCGGGCTCTGCTTGGTCATGGGCCGTACATCTCTTCTGGACGATGCCCGCGGAGTGGGGCTTCCGCCCGCAGCCTGCAAACATGGTGAACGTCCTGCACGCCCTTGGCAAGGCCTTTCGCTGGCAGCAGGCTTGCAGCCTGCTTTCCGAGATGGAGTGGGTCGAGAGCATCTCGTGGCAGCATTACTTCGCAGCAGCCGGCGGCTGCGGTGAAGCTGGGCAGTGGCAGCAAGCATGCCACCTCCTCTTCGAGAATCTGCCGCACCACTTCAGGTTTCCTCCAAGCTACCGGTTCAGCGCGGCCATCAGCGCCTGCAAGAGCGCCCTGGCACTCTGGGAGAAGCAGGGGACTTCGGGTGCGCAGCTCCGCTCCTCCTCCCTGTGGGAGACTGAGTAGTAGACTAGGCAACCTTTAGCCTTTTTGGGGTGATAGATTCCCCTTGTAATCCCAAAGGTTAACCCTTTAAAGCCTCTAGGTGCTGGACAAACTAAGGAGACGGCCCTGGCACTCTTCGAGTCGGGCCTGGATATACAGACGGACTTCCACGACGCGTCCCAGGCTTGGGTGCCTTGGCCTTGGTAGAATCGAGAAACATCCGGAAGTTTCCGAAATTTAGGGGTGTGGGGTCCTTATAAATCAGGGGATCCTACTCTTTGGGGGGGGGGGGGGGTCTTTCTACCTTTCTATAAGGGGATCCTACTCAGTCCTACTCTTTGGGTGTCTATGTTAAGGGCCCCCTTATGATCGTAAACCCCCCCCCATCTCGCATCTACGAAGCATGTCTCGCATCTTCTACCTGCAGCCACGTTGTACTGAGTTGTAACGATGAGTCGCCTTCCTTTCCTCAACCGTAAACCCTGAAGCATCAACCCTAAACCCTAAACCCTCAACCCTAAACCCTAGTCAACCCTAAACCCTAGGCCCTAAACCCTGAACCCTAAACTCTAAACCCTCAACCATCAACCCTCAACCTTCAACCCTAAACCCTCAACCCCTAACCCTATTCTTCTCAGGCGCCGCAGGAGGCCACGGTCTTCAGCGCGATCATCAGCACGCTTGACAAGGTCAGCTCTCAAAATGATGGGCCTAAACCCTAAGCCCTCAACCCTAGACCCTCAACCTTTTGTGGGTGCCCTAAATCATCGGTAGCTCCACCTTATAGTATACGGGCCACCAAAAAGGGGGACCAATGCTTCTAGAGAAGCGACCAGACGAGGTGGCCATGTGGGAGGAGGCGCTGGGCATCTTCCGGCGGATCCCGCCCAGCAAAGTCAGCGAGGCGGACTACATGACGGTCCTGCTCGCCCTGTGCAATGCCCAGCAGCGGCCCCTGGCCCAGCAGATTTTTAACCAGAAGACCCTGCACCTGCGTGAGATCCGGGAGCACCTCCTCCGGCCGGAGCTGGGCTGCCCTGTCTTGGACCTCCACAACATGCCCGTGGCGGTTGCGGAGCTGGCCGTGGAGTCGGCCCTTGGGGCTCTTGAAGAGAGAGCCGAGGCTTCGCAAAGCGGCAGCAGCAGCTACCAGATTCAGATCATCACGGGGCGCGGGTCGCGCAGCGATGGCGAAGCCTTGGTCCGGCAGGCGGTGCTGCGAATGTTGGGTGCAAGAGCAGATGTGTCATTTCAGCATGAAAACCCGGGACTGTTGATCTGCAGGATTCCGAAAGATTCCGCAAGACGATGAACTTGCCATGCTTCGACACCGTTGACACACCATTGTGATGATGCGGTCTCGAGGGCAACCAAGTGTTCCTTCTCCCAAGCATGTGACGAATCTGTCGCCCATGGGTCCCCAACAAGGTGCCTGTCAGGTACTGAATCCTGAAGCTCCGGCTTCTGTAAGCAGACCTTGAACTCCTTGTGCTGAAGCATCCTTACAGCCCCTTAAGGCTGGGCACAGGGACCAGCACACCCTTTGCAACAGAGCCCGGGACAGCCTGGAAAACGAGGTCGCCAGGCAGCACCTCGCAGGGAGACTGGAATGCCGTGGACCTTGGATCTCAATCTTCGGCCCAACAGCTTGGGCTGCTGAGTGAGACTTGGTGGCTTTGTGGCTTGGGCTCAAGCCCGCAGTGGCAAGAATGCTGCGGCAGCTGCATGCTGCATGCAAGGTTGCTTGCCCGCGGCCAGAGGTGGCAAGAGGTGGCAAAGCACTCTGTGCCCTAAACCCTAAACCCAAAACCCAAAAACCTAAACCTTAAACCCTAAACCCTAAACCCTAAACCCTAAACCCTAAACCCTGGCCATCGAAGGCTGCGACCTTTTGCACCAGCAAGGCCCAAGGCTCCGCCTGGACGAGGCGGAGCTTGGAGCTGCGCTGTAGCCGCGGCCTGAGAGCCGAGGTCAGTGATAAGTGCGGTGAACAGGTTTAGGGTTTAGGGTTTAGGGTTTAGGGCTTGGGGTTTGGGGGTTAGGGTTTAGGGTTCAGGGGTTGCAAGGCGTTAAGAGGCTGCAGGGATTGAGCTGCTGCGTGCCCTTGATAGCCGTTCGCGTTTGGAGCGTCCCGGACATGGTGGCCAGGATCCTGTTGATAACCCAACTGGTTGGTAGATAGCCGCAGCTCCCCAAAAGCTAATCAGAAGAGAAGATAAAACTTTGTAGCACTCGACAACACAATGTAAGATATTATCAAGCTTCTGAAGATCGGACGATGTCCTCGCCCACTTCTGCCAGACGGTCGAACGCCAAAGTCCGCAGTTAGCGTGAACTCGTGGCCATGTGTGTCCGTGCATGTGGTCTCGGTCTCTGTGTGTGTGACTGTGTGTGTGTGTGTGTGCATGTACGTATGCGCATGCGCTTGTTGATTGCGTGCATGCATGCGTGCTTGCTTCCCTGGTGCCGAGGCACTTGGAGAGCCGACCATTCGCCAATCTCTGGAAAAGACGTGGGAGGAGTGTGGGAGGCACGGGTTATGCGGGTCAACCCCAGCTCGCTCCTGAAGGTTCACCTATGTCATACCCGCGTTCTGAGTGTTTCCTGGCCGTGGCTTAGAAACCCAAGAATAACCGTACTTATAACCCAATTATGACGATTATAGCTACAGTTCTCACGGGACACTAGTACCCCGAACCTCCAAGTAGTACTCCACAAAACTAAGCAAGTTGGCGGATGTGATCTGCCCCTCTTTGCGGCCCTCGGGTCTTTGCCTTCTGAGTGCTTGGGTACCAGTCGATGAGTCCTTCAAAGGATTTAGAAAGGTCTACTTCTACAAACTCATGTGGCCTATTCGTGACAGATCTTTCGACGTAGCGTGCTGATGGCATGATTTCAAGGATGCACCCTGGTTGGCGATGTTTGGGTGTGAGCCTCGCATCCCTTCAGGCACCACGTCGGCCGTGATTGGGCGCGCTGGGTCAGTGAGTTGAGGCCGCAAGACAGAGGTTTAGGGTTTAGGGTTTAGGGTTTAGGGTTTTTTAGTTCACTGGCTCTGTAGGGTGGGTCCTTCCTCGACCGCCTCACTGAGAGTTCAATCACAAGGTTGCAAGCGGGATGCCAATGAAAGCTATCACAGAAGCCCCAGCGATTGGAAATTTTGCTGACGAGGTTAGCAGAAGAAGAAGAAGTAGGGGAGTGACGAGCAGTAAACTACCGTGTTGGGCCGGGCTTCGCGCGTTGCAGCCATGTCAGGCTTGTGTGAAAACAGGGCGAGGCGTGGTAGATTAGGGGTCAGATGTTTAGGAGACTCAAGGCACGTGGAGGCTAGGGTACTTAAGGGGCTTAAATGTGGGTTATAAGTACAGTTACCATTGAGTTACTAAGTACCCTGAACCTCCACGTAACCCCCATTTTTGGGAGCCCCAGCCTTGGTCGTTGGAAACGACTCGTGCGCCTATCTTGGTCTAACCGTTCACACCCTTGTCTTACCGTGTCATCCTGTCCTCGTGTCCGCCGTTCCACCTCAATTGACCATTCACCCGGATAGGATAATAATATAGAGTGAAGAGAATAATATTACAAGGGCTTACAGTGCAATGCAATGAAGCGTGAAGCCCGTAGTAATATTATGAACGAAACCAGAGAGCGAAGTGAATTCATGAACAAGCGAACGCAATGAATGAGAGAACGAAGTGGGCGTTTCCTCGTAATTTAATAGTATTATAGCGCCCTTATTATATTAATGGTGATCGCGTGAATGAAATGAACAAAGAAGCGATCACGCGTTCATTAAGTTCATGCATTTCGTGCACTAATTTCGTTTACAAATGCATTCATTAAGAAGAGAATTGCCATATGCTGCTCCCAGCCCCGCTCGCTACTTGACAGTGACAGCTTGTCTATGTTTGGATCTCTTTAAATTTAAGTGGCGCAGAGTCATGTTCTGCTGACCGGTAAGACAAGGTTGTTTATGACCTGCGGTGAAGGACAATGCCCGTGTTCGGAGGAGACGATACTGCCTTGTTTTGCGTTGTGCCAGCATATGCCGCTTGGTTTTTGTTTTGGCTCAGGGTGCTCACAACTTCTGACGCACTGACGGCAGCTGACGCATGACCGCTTGAAACGCATCCACACTGCCGACTCCAGCCGACCCAAATCCACAGTGAGGTGCCCGTCTACAGACTGGCCCAGGACTAGGACTCTCATGCCTGCACAGTATGGCACCTTATAAGTGCACACGGTCGCAGAGTTCCTTCGTTCTTACGAGCATCATGGTGGGCATCTGGGAGGCCGAAGCTGCCCAGGTTGATCCCGCACAGCCTCCGGCAGAGCCCGAGTGGGCAGACGCCTGGCTTCGCCTTGCGCGGCAGCGGCTGGCGGCTGGCAAGTCGGAGGTGCCCCAGGGATGGCGGTGTAGGCGGTTTAGGTTAGTTTTTTTGGTCCAGGTGGCCACATAACATCACACAACCTCGCCTGCAGAGCCCGAATTGAGCTCAGATTGCGTGACCTGCGTGACCTGCGTGACTTCTGAGGTGGCGGCCAAAGCGGCCGCTGTGGCGATGCAGCTGAGGCCCGAGCTCTCCGAGGAAGCCGGGGATCTACTTGCCCAGGTGGAGGCCGCCAGGTTGGAGTGTGTGCAGGTGAGGGGAGTCGGCTCCCTGTCGCTGGAAGTCTGGCCCGAGAGCGTGAAGGACGCTGGCAGCCTCTACACCGGGGGAGCTGTGCCTGGGCCATTGTTGAAAATCATTCTACATCTTGATGAACACTTAAACCATCTTCAACCCAAGAAGGAACAAAAATGATCATGTTTTAAATTTAAGTAGTACCCAAACAATGGTGCAGGTGTGGAAGGCGGGCCTGGAGCTCGCGCAGGAGCTGGCCAGCGTGGCCGACTTCTCGGGCCGCCGCGTGCTCGAGCTGGGCAGCGGCACGGGCGTTGCGGGCCTGGCTGCGGGCCTGTGCGGCGCGAGGGTTGTGCTGAGCGACCTGCCAGCAGCTGCCCCATTGCTGCAGAGGAACGTCGACAGGAACCGGAGGTCTCTGGAGTTGAAAGGGGGTTCTGCCGAAGTACGGACATTGGACTACCGTGAGGCGTGCGCAGATTCCTGCCTTCGCACCTTTGACTTGATCGTCGGAACCGACCTTGTCTGGCAGGAAGTGCAGTGCACGCCCCTGGCTAACTGGTGCGCAGCCTGTGGAGCGCCGGTTCTCCTCGTGGGCGTTCCGCGCTGGCCTTGGCTCAGAGAGGCTCTCCTCTGCTTTCAGTGCGGTGCACATGACTGCCCACGCGCCCAGCAGTGATTCACTGCTCCCGGGGTTGATAGTGCTGCTCTTTATACCTGGGGCTTCCCAAGAAGCCAAAGTGTCCTGGTTTCAGCTTCAGTGGGACAAGCTTTGAGCTTCTACTTGGAGATTTCTGGAGCTGGTGGTCGCGGAAATCATGCCACGGGCCCTTCCCGGTCAATAAGTCGCCACCTCAGTGAGAACACATGCTTGCTCATGGCAAACTCGCACACGAGTGGCTATGAGACACACATGACTGGTGGGCAGACATGGGGACAGAAGTGGGGCAAAACCGAAGGCTGGAACTGTTTCTGAGCATTGCCTCAACTGCAGATGGGGGGTAATCTGGCGGTGAAGGGGGGGGGCTGGAGCCGAAAGACGAGAGGACCTGGGACGGGGAGTGCAACGGCCAAAGGAGCCGAAGACCGACATTACATGTCACACCAAGAGATCCGGAGCTTGCCCCGGCTTCATGTTGCCATAGCATCGTCAGAAAGCCATCTTCAACGCAACGCATGATCGATTCTTTTTGTCTGGGCCTTCGAGCTGTGCGCAAGTGGCTGCACTGCTTCGGTCCTGAATGGAGTGGGTGGCAACAGAAATTTCACATGAAGGGCAGGGGGGAGACAACATGTGCGGTAGACACCTCCCCAGATTCAACCGCCCTTGTGTGCATGTGCCATGAAGATGCTGCAGGACGTCGCAGATGGTGCCTTTCTTTGCTTTGTGGAGGAAGGATCCCTCGCATGAGCGTAAATGATCCCATTGTGCATGCAAAAGACACGGCCTCCTGCCCAAACTTTCTCGGGGTATCAGGGGGGTATTACGGCGTTGAAGGTACTAGGGGTATTGGGGGTATTAGGATATGAGGCTGTTAGGGTAGGAGGGTATGCGGGGAGGATGCTCGTCAGGGCATTTTGAACGACGACTTTGCGAACTAGTTGGGTGCGTGCGCATGGGGTGCCTTTTGCGTCTTTATACAGCAGATTGCAAAAGGATGGTAACATGCCCAGAACGACTACACTGAGCTTGCCGCTTCATGCAACATACCGGAGAGGGGTTTCGGAGGTTTCTGAAACACAAGGCGCGCTGTCAGTTTCGCCCGTGCCATGGTGATGGCAATGATAATGATGATGATGATGATGACGACGATGGTGATGATCGCTACAACAATGATCGGAGCAAGTAGAGTCGATGCATGAGGGCATGCTACCAAGGCTCTTCTGCAAGGACATGAATCAGGTCTGCGCTGGGCAATTTTAGGCTTAGGGTTCAGGGTGTATACAGACTAGCAACCCTTGCAGACCTGCAACGGCAGACGCTCTGTCTCAGGTCCCTGGACCTGCCGAGTGTGCTCCAGTCCCGGGAGCACTAGTGCAGCATCGGAGGCAGCGGATCAGGTTGTGCTTGTTGCCTTTGACCCTAAACCCACAACCCTAACCCTAAACCCACAAACCGGATTTTTTCTCACCGGGCACATGCATGGGATCGGTAGGCTCTGGGTGCATGCGTGAGTCTCTGTCAGAAAGGAGCCGCGCACTTGGAGGTTCAGGGTACTTGGTAACCCATGATAAGTGTGGTGAAAACCCACATAAAAGCCCCTTAAGTACCTTAGTAGGGTGATCATTGGGTTATAAGTACAGTTATAATTGGGTTACAAACCCTAAACCCTAAACCCTAAACCATAAACCCTAAGTACCATGAACCTCCAAGCACCATTGCAACACAGCGCCTTTCGAAGACCAACCCGATCTCATTCCGCTGCGTCGTCTCCAGCCAAGATGTTGAAACCCCTAAACTCTAAACCCTAAACCCTAAACCCTAAACCCACCAGAAATCTGCCGAGCAAACCTCTGCAGGTGATGCCGTGTTCCGAGGATGCTCCAAGGCTGCTCCGGGCTTCCGGGTTTAGGGTTAGGGTTTAGGGTGTAGGGTCTAGGGTTTAGGCGATGCAGGATTTGGGGGTTTACGAAAATAGGGGTATGTACTTTTTGGGGGTTCCTTTAAGGGATTCTACTTTGGGGGATAAAGGGGTACCCCTATTTTGGGAAATGCCCATATCATAGGGTTCATGGGTTTTTGTTTGGGGTTTGGGGTTAAGGGTTTCTTTGGGTTTAGGGTTCTTGTTTGGGGTTTGGGTATAGTTTTTTTTGGGTTTAATGGTTTAGGGTTTAGGGTTTAGGGTTTAGGGTTGTGTATGATCTGATCACAACATCTGTTATCATTCTTTTTGGTTTACGTATGCTTTCATGTTTGATTCTCTTAGTGTTTTGTTTTAGTATGCTTTCTTTCGTACTGGAGCATCGTTACATTGTTTCACAGTTTTGATTTCTATACTTTTGTAGGACTGTTATTGTTTTGATTGTCATTTCAGCATATTTGTATCACGTTATGTGATTAGTGTTCATTGACATGAAAGGCAAGAGGACACACACATGTCGCGCTGATGCGGTTTTCGCACCCGACAGAAATCGGTGCTTCTGCCTGAAATGGCTTTGCTCACGAGGCTCCCGGTCGACTCCAAGCCCTAAACCCCAAAAACCCCACTAAACCCCACCTGGAAACGTAGTGTCACGTCTCACCGTTCCCCACCCCCGACCAGAAGCCCACATTATTCTTGTAGAACTTACAGAAGTATCTTAGGTAAAAACTGGACCCGAACACCCAACAACCCCACCACCAACCCCTCACACCTTCACGGTCTAGGGTTTGTGCCTTCGGGTTCAGGGTTCAGGGTTCAGGGTTCTGGGTTTAGGGTTTAGGGTTTAGGGTGGCTTTAGGGTTTGGGGTGCCTGGAAACCCCAACTCTGAAGTCTCAGACTCACAGGCCCTGAGCAGTAAGTTCTTCCAGGCGTCGGCTGGTCGCGACGCGGTCGCCTGTACGAGGAACCGCTGCTTCTCCGAAGGGCCGGCAGATCCGAATTAGGGTTTAGGGTTGAGGGTTTAGGGTTTAGGGTTTAGGGTTGAGGGTTTAGGGTTTAGGGTTTAGGGTTTAAGGATGATCAGGCTCCTGGGCCCCAGAAGCCCTACGCGGGTTTAGGGCTTCGCGTTTAGGGAAAGGCGGAAGCCGCGAACCCTACTCGACCTTCGGTCTCAGGTTTCGGGGGGGGAAGTTGCAGTGAGTGCGCCTTGGAGACAGCAACTTTTGAAGCCACAACCCTTCAAACCCAAAGCCCCAAAATCTAGCTAGAAACCCCCCCCCCCCCCCCCCCCCCGATTCCAGATCCCCAAGCCCTGAAACCCTCGACCCTGAAACCCTCGACCCTAAACCCTAAACCCTAAACCCTGAATAAACCTTAAACATCTTTCGGCTCTGAGGCCCAAGCCCGAAATACTAAACCCTCGTTGCAAGGAAGTAAACCTTTTCATGGGTTTCCTCTTTGTTGGAGGGGATCTTGACATGTCGGTCTTATAGGGTTGAAGCCAATCGCCGTGAAGGCCCAAGCCTTCGGATGGCCATACACCTCTTTCCCGGTAAGACCACGTGTCGAAGCCTCAAGCCCCCAGCCCTTCAAAGATTGCTGCACGGGACTAGAGCCGTAGATTTCTCAAAGCCCTAAACGCTAAAACCCGAAACCCTAAACCCTGAACCCCGAGCTCTATCGACTCGATTATGCAGGAGTGAAGCCCCTAAACCCGTGGGCTTAAGCTCTAAACTCATGCTGGAATCTGCGGCTCGAGTTGTCCATTGTCGTCCCAGGACCTTACAACATAAACTACCCAACGCAATAGGCCCCGATGTTGCGAGTCGGGCAGTTCTTGGCATTGAACCGGACATGTCTTCTATCACATGACCGCACTGTCGAGAACTGCTAACATGAAGATGATTGAGGGACTGAAGAACCACATCATTTGGAGCAAGCCGCTCCAAATCACCGACGGTCCTTTGAACCCTTGACCCTAATGTTCAGAGCGCTGTTGCTGACTGCGTGTGTGCCATGCGCGCGCTCGCTGCACCGCCTGGTTTCAGATCTTCCAGAAGCGCGCTGCGAAGATTTCCGGGACTTGAAGCTGTTCATCTACACACTACCTCCCGCTTTCAACATCGATCTTTATGCATCCTGCTTGCAGTTTCGAGAGAGCCCTATACTCCCTACTCGAGGAATGCTCCCTAAACCACATATATAGGGGTTACTAGGTATCGGTCTCCTTTAAGACAGGTTCATGAGCGTAAGCTTTGGGGTTCAGGGGTTGGGGTTTACGGTCTCTTCTTGCCAAGGACGAGCTTGAGAGGCAAGCGCAGGAGATGGGCAGCAGCTGTGACTTCATGCGGTCGGCTTGTGATGAGGATCAGTGGCTCAGAAGCAACACGACGTCGAGTCGCATTTGTATACTTGCAGGTAGTTTGCGACTTGGGTGCCTAGTTTTTCTTCCCAACCTCAAGCTCCTCAAACGCTGGCTCCTACACACAAGCCCTTCCACCCAAAGCCCCCTCCCCCCCCGCCCTCCCCCCCCCCTCCGCCCCCCTTCCCAGGTGGGCCTTTCGCTTCAGTGCGGCGAGGCAAAGAGGGGCCGAAGTCATCTTGCTGCGGAACCTTGCAGACTAAAAAAGGGCTTAGGGTTTAGGGTTTGGGGTTTAGAGCGTTTGGGGTTTAGGGTTTAGGGTAGAGGTACGGAGCCTGATATTCAAGGTTTAGCATATGCCCTATGCTACTCTGCTGTACTCTAATCCTTACCAAGTCGGTGGGCCGTGCCCCAAAACCCTCTCGGAGCAACCCTAAACCCTTAAACCCTAGACCCTAAACCCCATAGTCCCTAAACCTACACTTTAGGGAAACCAAGAAAAATCTGGCAAGGTGGGTAGTTACAGAGTCTTATAAGAGGCTCAGGGTTTAGGATTCAGGGTTTCGGGTTTAGGGTAACTGTCCTTCAAGAAGAGACCCTAGATTAGAGAACTGCACATTTTCTACCCAAGGAAGTTCCTGGCGGGCCTTACCTGCCCGCAGGCGACGGTTTCGCGTTGCAGAGTCCGGGTGTTGGCCCCAAAGCCTGAACACCGGTTTCAGTCTCGACTTTGTTCGGGAGGGTTTAAGGTTTAGGGTTTATTTAGGTTTAGGGTGGGGTTGGGGGGATCGGGACTCACGGTTTTTGCAACTTTTCATCGTCTTTCTCCGATTGCTTGTCATAGAGACATGCATTTGGCTTAGGCAAACCAAGGCACATGCACTGTTTCTATGCCAAATAGAAGTTGGTTCAGGCAAACTAAGCCGTTGTCGGAATGCATTCGGCTTGGCCAAGCAAACAACATGTGTTCTTTGTTTGGCTGAGGCAAGCCAAGCCAAAAATGTGGTGCTTTTCGCGGAAGATGCATTTGGCTCTTATGCAAGCCATGCCAAAAGCATTGCTGCTTGTTCATCGAAGAGTGCAGGTGGCCTGCAATCCTAAACCCCAGAATAAGTGAGGGGTCGCATCCGTCGAGCGAAAAGACCCCCCAAGCACTTGGCCGACTTCAGAGACCATCTTCAGCGTGGCTAGAGCATGGCTCCAAAGCCTGCCCCATTTGATCTGGAAGTGATGGGGTCTGAAGGCTCCCAAGGCCGGGTGCGAATGTCTCTTCCCTGGGAGTGCGGGGTGCTGTGGCCCAAGTGAGACAGAAGTGACGAAAGTGACAGTCGAGTTCTTCTGTCAGACCTCCTTCATGGGCCAACTGCTTCCGTAAGGATGACGAAGGTTATTCTCAAATGCAGCTCTAACACAAGAGACAAGCGCCGGCGCATGGAAGAAGATCAATACAGGAAACCCCATACCCCAACAGACCAATAATAGAGTAGAGTGTGGTGGCAGGGGCGGGTTGACAAACGACGCGATTGCATGGCGCGGGCCACTTCAAACTGTCGCGCGCGTGCCCTCGCATGACACACCCCGAGTCCTAAACCGGTTAAGGGTTTAGGGTTTGGGGGTTTTTGTGTTGAGGGGCTTTGTGTGATGGGGTTCGGTTTTTCGATGTTTTTCGGAATTCATGGCCCGCTTCTGGGCTGAAGTCCCTAAGTTTAAAGAAGAGTCCATACCCAAACCTGCTCTTTTTGGGCAGTTTGTAGGAGTCATCAGGGAGCTCTACACTCAAGATGACCCTTTACGGATCTTTGTCCAATCCTGAATCAGTGGCAAACCTGTGTTTTTGGGTTCGCTTGTTTAGGGTTTAGGGTTTAGGGTTTAGGTGGTTCAGCAGGTCACGGAGAGGGCAGAGGAGGCGGATATCTTCGTCGTGCCTTACCTGGCAGGATTAGACTGCTTCCTCGGCGGTCACCAGTTCCGATGTCCCACGAGGTGGAACGAGCACACGAAGGATCTGTTCAGGTTGCTTGGCAGTTTTTCGATATCGCTCAGGCACAACTCCATGAAATTCTTGCATGTCTCTGTGTCACAAACCCTAAACCCTAAACCCTAAACCCTAAACCCTAAACCCTAAACCCTAAACCCTAAACCCTAAACCCTAAACCCTAAACAGGTTGTTGGCGCACTATTCTCCAGCCACGCGTCATCGCCATCTTTTCCTCGCAACTGCAGACCTGCATAGCATTCCCCTGCAGCTTCAAGCGCAGCATCTCTTAATCTCCCATGGAGCAGCATGGGGAGGTTTGCCCGGTCAGCTGGTATCCCCCAGCGCGGTTGCAGATGTTTTTGCACAACTCCCGCTGCCACGAACAGAGACGGCTGACTCGATTCTGTTCTGGTTGGCAGTTTCGCCAACAAGCACGCTGCGCCGTGCACTAGTGATCCACCTGCTTGAGTTTGACGAGGCGTATCCTGACACTCGGCACGCAACATCGGGTCTTCTGAGCCCAACGTCACTGTTCTGATGAATAAGTACCTTGTGACTCACCACCAGGCAGCTCTTGTGCTGGAAGAGAGCATCATACCCTAATGGGAACCCTGATCCCCCTAACAACCGAACCCTAATAAGACCCATAGCCTACATCCCAAATCTGAAGTGGAACCCATAGACCCTCTGACACGAAGCCCCAAACATGAAACTCTAAACTCTCAGCTCTCAAGGTTACGCCCTCAACTATCACCCTTAAATCCTGAACAACCCGCAGTTTAAAGCCTAAGCCCTACGCCCTACACCCTACACCCTAAACCCTAAACCCTAAACCCTAAACCTAAACCCTAAACCTTTCAACCTGACACCCTCCTGAGGAAGCCCAGCGTGCCGGAGATTTGAGTCGACGGGGCCGCGTGGTCATCCATCAGTTGGCGCCTGGGTTTAAGGAACCCCAAAAATTCTGGTGATTTTAAATCCACGTGGTAAGCCTAAACCCTAAGCCCAAAGCCCTAAGCCCTAAGCCCTAAACCCTTTTTGGGGTACCCTAAATACTAGGGGCCGCCTTATCATGGTAACCCCAAAAGGGAACATAGTTGCATGTTAAAGTAGGATGCGTTTGAGGTTCTAGGGTTTAGAGTTTAGAGGGTTTAGGGGTTTTACGGGTTTCAGGGTTTTAGGGTTTTCAGGGGTTTGACGGTTTTGGGGTTTGGGGTTTAGAGGGTTCGCGGTTCAGGGTTCGGGGTTTAGGGTTTAGGGTTTTTAAAGTTCGGGGTCGAGGGTTTACAGGGTTTACGGGTAAATTAGCCCTCACGTGGTGCCTTCTATTTGGGGATGCCCTTCGAGAGGGACTTTCATTGAGAGAGGCCCTAGCATTCGATTGGGCCTTCGTCTTGTGTCTGGCAGGGCTTTCCCTATAAGGGTCGTTAAACCCTAAACCCCTAAGCCCAAACCCTAAACCTTAAACCTTAAACCTTAAACCCTAAACCCTAAGCCCTAAACCCGAAACCCTAAACCCTAAACCCTAAACCCCAAACCCTAAACCCTCAGCATGAGTTCAGGAGCGGACGCAGAGGCAGCCCCCCCCGCGGCAGTTCGCGGAGGAGCGGCAGCGTGCTAAGTTCTGCCCTGTCCCGCCCGGCGAGACGTCCGGAGGCTCTACACCCCATAAGCCCTTTAGGGTTTAGGGTTTAGGGTTTAGGGTTTAGGGTTTAGGGTTTAGAATTTAGGGTTTAGGGTTTAGGGTTTAGGCCCCAAACACCAGAAGCCTGTAATCCTCCTAAGCCCTATAAACTTCATGACCCCTTAAGGCCGGACAAGTCCCATGCGTCCTACATGCACGTAAAGCCCAAAACCCTACAAACCCCAACAACCTTCTCAAGCAAAATCCCGACGCCCCTAGACGGCCACGAACTTAATGTCCTTAACAGCCCTGGTTTAGGGTTTAGGGTTTAGGGTTTAGGATTCAGGGCTCCCATGCAGTTCTTATCTCATTTGGGGTTGAGTAGGGGTTGAAAGAACTCGGAGGGTTTAAACGGGGGCTACTTTGGTAAGCCAGGCCTTAAACGGCTACTGGACGCTTTGCTGGCAGGCTGCATACCAGTGCCTTGGACACAACCGGTAGTTCAACCCACGAGCCTGAGTGTAGGGGTTAGGGGGTTCAGGGGTTGGGGTTTAGGGTTTAGGGTTTAGGGTTTAGGGTTTAGGTTTCAGGGCTCAGGGCCAGGGCTTCGGATTTAGCGTCGTGACGCACCGTTCAGCTGAATCTGAGCTTGAGCTTTGCAGGACGGTCTGCGTATTGATTGTCAGCCATGTTGCTGTTGGAAAAGGCCACACAAGTCTCGCGGACCTTTGGAGGGCTCCTGGAGCCCTTTTAACCCCTGAGCCCCCAAACAACCGAAGCCCTTAAACCCCCCCCGAAGGCTGAAAAAAGCCCGGTTCAGGGCTTAGGGTTTAGGGTTTAGGGTTTAGGGTTTAGGGATCTCCAAAATCCTAAAGCCTTAAATTCAGGTGGTGGTAGCCTTCCGGACCACCCTTGGCAGCGGAAAGAGCTGGTGGCGCCACGACGGAGCTCCTTTGGAGTGCCTTTTCAGGGCTTAGGGTTTAGGTAGGGTTTAGGCTTTGGTGTTTAGGGCTCAGGGTTTAGGGTTTAGGGGTTGTGGTTAGGGTTTAGGGTTTAGGGGTTTACGGGTTTAGGGGTTTAGGGGTTTAGGGGTTTAGGGGTTTAGGGGTTTGGGGTTTGGGGTTGGCCATAAAGGGTTTCAGGATGCACAGGGGCTTGTGGGGGTTTATGGGGGCGTTAGGGTTGAAGGGCTTGGGGTTTATGGGGTTTTTGTCAGGGGTTTTGGGGTTCATGGGTGTAGGGCCTGATTTGGAGGGCTTCTGCTGCTCTGAGTTCACCCTATGCATATGAGGTGGAGCTTGCCCTTCTTTCGGGAGATCGACTGGCCCCGGCTGGTGGTGGAGGTGAGCGAAGAGCATTTCTGGCAGGGCCGGCTGGCGCCGCAGTGCCTGGGCTTGTCCCACAAAGAGCAGGTGGAGAAGCATGACTACATCGCAGAGGTGCGCGGCCTCTTGCGCTACGACCTGGCCGGGGGGAGCAGGGATGCTTTCAGCCTGCTTATGGATGGCGTTCGCCGCGCGCTGACTGATGCGGACGGGGGATCCACGTCAACGCCCCATCTGGCCCAGGTCTGCTCTGCCACGCCTCGAGGAGCTCGGCATGTGGAGACGTACTTGGAAGAGACCAGGACCGTCGAGAAGCGCTGGTCCCACGCTTTCTCGGAGGTCTCGTGCTGTGATCCTTCTCTGTGGCAACCGGCGGGTGCTTTCTTCAAAGTAGGTGCAGACCCGCAGGTCCTTTTTGAACAGTACACCTTGACAGCCTCATGGTGTACCGCCGACCGGATGCAGTGCGTCCGCGTGTACGGCCGCACGGAGAAGCGCCTCGATGATCTGCGGGATCAGCGGCGCGTCCTTCAGGAGGCCAAGTTTGCCCTGTGCTTCCCGGATGTCCCAGTGGCCTGCCATGATAGCCTCATCCCAGTGGAGGGTGAGCTGGTCACAGAACTCTGCAGCGAGGTTGCGTCGCCCCGGCCGGCGATGCCCAGCTGCCGGTTGCTTGCGGAGGTCGCCCCGGTTCCTCCGCTGCTTGCGCTCGGAGCGCAGGTGCACGTGGAGCTTGTCCTCCTGAAGTGCAGGCCTGGGAGCGGAAGGATGTGGGGCACGGGCGCTATGGAGATGGCAGGGCTGGTCATCCACACGGCGGTCTACGACACCTGCGAGGGGCGCGATGGCCCCAGCTCCAACAGGCTGCTGCTCGAGCACACCCTGGTACGCCTACACCAAGCCCACCATGGCGGCAGCATCCCCGACTTCCTCTTGCTCGCTTGGGGCCCGGAAGGGGCCGAAGAAACCGAAGAAACGGACGCCTTCCTGGATGTGGAGGTGATCCTTGAGAGGTTCCTGGGGCAGCTCAGGCGCAGAGACGCCGTCGACTGGGTCTTCGTGGTGGAGGGCCCGCCGGGAAGGTCCTGGCCCTGCGAAGGCGACAAGTTCATGTCGCAGGGCTGCGAGACCGAAGTGGTGCCGCGCCTCGGTGGCTCAATGTGAGTAAGTAAAAAACGGAACAAATGAAGATCTATCTATCTGTCTGTCTGTCTATCTATCTATCTATATATATATATATATATATATATATTATTTTGTTGTTTACACTTTTCTTGCATATGATTGTGTATTCTTACCAACATATTACGATATGAGCATATGATGGTAAGTGAACCTGAACCTACCAGTTCTTGGCAGGGAGCGGGGCAAGCCGTTACCTTCCGAATGGATCGAACCCTTCTCAAGAGACCGGGTAGGGTACGTATCTGAAAGATTCCCCAACTCAGAACCGCCGAGTTGCCAGTAGGTGAGAAGGTTCAGGTTTTTTTGGGACCCTAAACCCCGAAACCCTAAGCCCTAAGCCCTAAGCCCTACACCCTAAACCCAGAGGAGAAACTTTGAAACAGTAAACCCTAAACCCCAAACTCCCAAGCTCCCAACCCTGAAGCCTTAAACAGGATTCCAACTTGAGGGTTTTGCCCCCCTGCTTCTTCTCAGGGAATGAGGGACTGAGGGCTCTAGATATATACCCTTCAAGGGATTCAACCCTAAACCCGAAACCCGAAACCCGAAACCCTAAACCCTAAACCCTAAACCCTAAACCCTAAACCCTAAACCCTAAACCCTACTAAGAACCAGCCAGTCGTGCTTTCGTCCACGGAGGCAGGCCCTGGCTTTCTCCACAGAGCTGTTGAGGCAAGCCGCTGGGTTGCACAAGGGAGGGGGGGAGTGTTTAGGGTTTTTGGGGCTTTTAGGGTTTTAGGGGGTTTTTAGGGTTTTTAGGGTTTTAAGGTGTTTATGGGTTTAGGATTGTAGGGTTTTAGGGTTTTTGGGGTTTTGGGGGTTTTAGGGTTTTAGGGTTTTTAGGGTTTTAGGGTTTTTAGGGTTTTTAGGGTTTTTAGGGTTTTTAGGGTTTTTCGGGTTTTGGGGTTTTGGGGTTTTGGGTTTTAGGGTTTTGGGGTTTTGGGTTTTGGGGTTGCAGGGTTTTTAGGGTTTTTAGGGTTTTAGGGTTTTTAGGGTTTTTAGGGTTTTGGGGTTTTGGGGTTTTGGGGTTTTGGGTTTTTTTGGGGTTTTGGGGTTTTGGGAGGGGTTTTAGTGTTTTGGGGTTTTAATTTGAGGGGATTCTCCCTTCGAGTGTATGGAGTGCAGAGAGTGTGAAGGGATGATTCCTGCGAGGTCTAGACATGTCGAAGCTGCAGGAGAGCATCTGTCAGCGTTTAGAGTTTAGGATTTAGGGAATAAGGGTTTAGGGTTTGGGGTTTAGGGTTTAAGGCTTTAAGGCTTTAAGGGTTTAAGGGTTTAAGGGTTTAAGGGTTTAAGGGTTTAAGGGTTTAAGGGTTTAGGGTTTTGTCTTCTTTGGATGTTAAGCTCGGATTTCTTGCCCTTGGATTGGAACCAGGCATGATTTGTGCCTCTTGGGTGGAGACCTCAGAAACAAAACCATGCCACGCAAACAGTACAGTCAGAAGAACCCTTTTTCTTCATGAAGAAAAAGATGACGCAGGCAAGGAGGTGTGTGTTGTGTGTTGTGTGTTGTGTGTTGTGTGTTGGGGGGGTGGTCAACACAGTTGCTTCTCCTGTACAGAGCCCCAGGGGGCATGGGGCCAAGTCCATTCGCATCGATTCAAACACGTCACCAAGTCCAGTCGCACCGATTCAAACACGTGCCCCCAGCCCCATGCCCCCAGCCCCATGCCCCATGCCTCAGGGGGCATGGGGCCAAGTTGGTCAAGGGTCCCACCATTCCCATGCCATGCCCCCAGCCCCAGGGGGCATGGGGCCCACGACTTGAGTAGGTTCTGGGTGCTTTTTAGGGTTTAGGGTTCAGGGTTTACGGTTTAGGGAGACACTTTTCGCTCAGAAGGGGCCAGTTCTCGACCTGCGCCGGTTGAGGGTGCTAAGCCCGAGTAAGATTCTGCAACTTCATGGTTGCTTCTTACGAAGAGCGTCCTTGAGGGTTTAGGGTTTAGGGTTTGGGGCTTGATAAGAAAAGAACCAAGGCCTAAGCCCGAAACCTTTTTGAATCAACCCCTCTAGCCTTGTGGAGCTTCTAGGGTTTAGGGTTTAAGGTTTAGGGTTTAGGGTTTAGGGTTTAGGGACATTCGGACTTTTGGTGCTTCGGATTTCAGGGCATGCCGAAGCCCTAAGCCCTAAGCCCTAAACCCTAAACCCTAAGCCCTAAGCCGGAAACCCTAAACCCTAAACCCTAAGCCCTAAGCCGGAAACCCTAAACCCTAAACCCCAAACCCTAAACCCTAAACCCTAAACCCTAAACTTCGGGAACTTGCCCGCGCGGGAGCTTGGGCTCCGGGCCAAGGCCCTGGTCCCGAACTGGGAGTCCGCCGCGGCTCTGCAGCTCAAGGGGGATCGCCGGGACTGGCTGCAAGTGTGGTTTGTGGCTTAGAGGGTTTAGGGTTTAGGGTTTAGGGTTTAGGGTTTAGGGTTTAGGGCTTGGAGTTGAGGGAGTTTAGGGTTGTGAGGAGCCGCATGAGCGGACCCTTCAGGGTGTAATGCAGTGCGTCTTTCCCTTAACAAGGAATCCATGGCAAGCAAAACGCGCGGAGGGTCTCTTTTGCTCTACGGCAAGAAAGAACGGAAAGAACCACGGTCTTTGATTGAGGAGTTGCTACTCTACTTCCTATGTTACCTTGGGCCTTGGGCCTCAGATGCAACAGAGAGGAAAACCACATGACTGCATGCTACAGGCTCTACTGACCTACAACATACGAACACTGACGTGAACCGTGCATTTCTACACTCCTCCTTCCAAAGGCCAGATTCACTTCTTAGAAGCCCTTCTACGGCAGGCTCCTTCCGGGCGGAGATGCAAGGAAATGCATTGCTGCAAAGCCTGCTCTCCCGAGTGGCCAACTTGACCCTGTCTGGCTTCTCGGCACTTTGCCACCTTCAGGTCGCTGCACGGCGTGCTGCGCGGTCTTTCTGTCATACTGCGCAATCTGGCCGGCTTACCCCCGGCGCACAAATGTGCATGTTACCTTCGGGCCTTGCATGGGCCTCAGATGCAGCAGAAAGGAGAACATGACTGCGTGCTACAGGCTCTACTGACCTACAACATACAAACACCGACGTGAAGGGTGTATCTCTACAGGTTGATAGGGTCTTCAAGGGTTGAGTGTGGATTGTTACTTTTTAATATTCTGATTATTGTTATGAAGATCGCCATTCTTGTCATGAGTATTGTTGTCATTCTTCTTGCCGTCATTTCATTCATGTTGGTTTGTCTTTTCCCATTGGCGTGAGGTTTTGTTTGTCGGCCTTCATTGCATGCTATGAATATGCTTGTTTCAGGTTGTCGTCGGTGCTGTGATTGTCGTTAATGTTTTCTTATGCCTGTGCATGGTGGGTTGGGTGGGTTAGGGTTTCCTAAATCCCAAATCCCAAACCCTAAACCTTAAGCGTTTAGGATGGGATGGAACTTGTGGGAAGACCTCAAGTCGAATTCTTGAGTTTGGACGCTTTGCGGTGCAGGGTTTTAAGGGGCTTGGGGTTTCGGGTTTCAGAGTTCGGATAGATAACAGAACGGCTTGCAAGTTAGATCAACCCCCGAAAGCCTAAACCCCAAGCCCAGCCCTAAAGACCCCCAAGCCCTAAACCCCCAAAGAAGATGGTCGCGTTTAGTAGCCGTCTATGATAGACGTCGATGGACCCCAATATATAGACCCTACATAGACCTATGCCGCCAACCTATTCTCAGCATACCAGACCCCCTATGCATAGGCCCTGCAAACCCCTATGCGTAGACCCTACCCCTTTGGCCCCCCGTGCAGAGACCCTATCCCTACCCGTACCACCCCCCTATGTCGCACAGTCGCACAGGCCCCTATGCATTTTTCCATAGGCTCTATTGCCCTACTAAAAGACCCTATCCGGAAACCAAAAGGCCCCTATGCCATGTCAATCCTTCCTCTTCTATATAACTGCTAGCCTTTTTCGCTGCGTCCCGAAACATATAACTTGAATGCGTCTTCTGTTTCAGTACACGTGACCCACTGTACGGCAGACACCTCTCCTCTGGAATTACAAATGGGTTGCCCATCTCGTAATGTCGAGCACGCTGCCGATGTTGTGCATCCTCTTGAGCTGCAGTGAGTGTAGCCCGTGCAGTGGCCGACGCCATTGAACGTGCATACCTGCCCATTGGGCTGTAGGTCCCTCGTCCAGGTACCCTCCGCCGTGCGATGGGCTCGAAGATGGTGCCTCGCCGACAGTAGACCTAGCATGCAGGAGGTTTCAAGCTTACTTGGAGTCCTTTGCGGTCTTGCGTGGCAAGCCCATGCACGAGGCGCTGTCCTTCATGATAAGTCTCCGACGGACATGGGCGCTCTGGGCTTCCTAGTGCTGGCCTACCCTTCGGCTTGCAGGCTGGACAATCAGCTACAGGGTTTGTGTCCTACTGCAACAAAGTCGACAGCGTGGGAAGAGTTCTCGTGCGCCAGTATATGACCGCTTGCTTCCGTTCTATGTATGGGTCAAGAAGCACGACGCGTACGGCGCCCGCCGCTGCGCTGTTGGGACGGTAACTTCAAACTGTTCCTACCCTGGGCCTGCGTGATGCGCGTGGAGGAGCTCGCAGTCGGTGGCGAAGTGTGCGTCGCGACGAGCTGCAGGTGCACGGCGCTCCACGTGCAACATCACCCTCCCAAAACAAGAGAAAGAAACGGAGGCGCACGGAGGAGCCTTTGCAAGCTAGGCCTGGAACCCTAGACCCAGAAGCTCGTCAACAAAATACAGCAAGCCAAACACTGGAGCCAAGGCCCAGCCAGAACCTGATCCCCCCAAACAAATCTTGCAAGCCCCCTGAACCTCGTACGTCATCCCGCGCCAACAACAAAATCAGAGAGGAGCGCAAGCCCTAGCCCAAACCCGATAATTGAGAGCTCGCACATCCGTGAATCCACGAATCTGCGAACCCGTGAACGCTGTCAATATAGATCTGCAATAATTCATATACGTACACTATACACTGAAGAGGGCAAGCTATGCGTCCTGTTCGGCGCTAGCTGTGACGGGGCTGTCTCTATAGGTCGGGTGTGATCTCCTTGCGCCACGCACCGCCACCCTGAGGCGTGCGCAGCGTCGAAACAGTGGCTTAAATTTCTGTGCTGCGACTGTCGCGCAGCTCACGAAGAACAATGCCGTCGGGAGTGCAGGCGCATGTGCGAGGCTGCCCCGCCGCGAACCTTCTCCAAGCGACAAGCGCGAGGCGACCGTGAGGCAACGAGTTCCCTGATGCATGCGAACGCAGTTTTTTTTGCGCGTGCTGGGTTGATGGGTAGGTCCTTGCTTGTTCCCGCCCGCCCAAGCAGAGCACGCGGCGGAGATCGGTGGGCGTTTTCGCTGGTCGGCTCTTGGATTGCGGTGCAATTCAGCCTGTGCAAACGGCTGACTGACACAGAAGCCCGGTCCGCAGTCATACAGATGATTGCGCGACATGCAGAGTTGCGTTCGCTTTTCTCCTTGCTTCTTTATGATGACATGTGCCATCCCCGAGAATACTGGCAGAAGCATCTCGATGGCGTTCAGAACGCGCAAGCGGCTCGTGTGCTCCGTTTCCGCGGGTTTCCGACACGATCGCATCAGCGAGGTCATACACGGTGGCAGTGTCACGCGGACTTCGCAGCTAATACCTGCGATGACCTGAACGACTTCCGCACCTACACATGCCTCTCGGCTTGCCATGCCCTCGCCTCCGTCTTGGCTTGAGATCATGCCCGACATGTACCATTGTGGTTGACCAAAAACCACAATCAGGGTTGCCGCAGCTCGGTACGGTTCGGGGGGCGGGGTCTGTCTGTCTGTCTCTCTGTCCCTCTCTGTCTCGCTCGCTCTCTCGCTCGCTCGCTTTCTCTCTCTCTCTCTCTCTCTCTCTCTCTCTCTCTCTCTCTCTCTCTCTCTCTCTCTCTCTCTCTCTCTCTCTCTCTCTCTCTCTCTCTCTCCCTCCCGCGCACCCACCCTCTCAACTTTTTACTTGTCGCTGTAACGGAAGCTGTTTCGGAGCTGTGACGGAGGTGTAACGGAACTGTAGACGGGTAGGGGTAGGGGCCTATGATGGCCTATGCCTTTCCCGATAGACCCCCAAAAATATAGGTACCTATCCTAGAACGGACAGACGGCTACAAATCCAGACCATGCTCACCCCTAAAACCTGAAAGCCCAAGCCCCAAACTCCAAACCCTAAAAACCCCAAGCCCAAAAGACCCTACACACCCTCAACCCCCACACCCATGCTAGGACTCCTAACCCGAAACCCCAAAAACCCCCAAGCCCTGAACCGTCACACCCATGGTCGGGCTCGGGTACAGGATCAGCTGATCCTCATCCGGGCCTTGCTCCAGCACGGCAGCCCGCATCCTGTGGAGGCCTCTTTTGGGGTTTTGGGTTTGGAGTGGTAGGGTTGACGGTTGAGGGTGTAGGGTTTAGGGTTTAGGGTTTGGGGTCTAGGGGTTGGGGTCGGTTTGAGTGTAGGGGTTTGATCTAGATTGTTGGCTGTTTAAAGTATGGTACTGGATCCTGAGCAAGAACACCCTTTGTAGCACAGACCCAAACCTACATTTCTTAAGAGTTTGGGGTTTGAAGCATTTGACGGTTGAATTGCCTTCAAGAGAACCCAACATCGTCTTTTCGTCTGTGACGGCTGCTTTTTGCCAACGACCAAGCAACAAGCAGGTTCCTGGACATGTGCACGAGATGAGAGGATAGGATAATCACGCATGATAGGGCACTTCACGATACTCATGAAACCAGAGCTCTGTATAAATCGATGCTACCAATATTAACCTCTATAGAAATCTAGTGCTTCTGTCCCTTCGCCGTTGGGGTCCTTGCTGAGACAATTCTTGTTCGCATCTCTTTATTACTTGTGTCTTGTTTCTGCAAGCCCCAGACAGTGATGCCAGAAGCAGGCCAATGAAGCCCAACCCTACCTCAGAAACCCAAAAAACCAGAAGAAGGGAACTAGTGGCTTAAATAAGAAACCTTCAATCAACCGGACCAAGCCGCACTCGGCCCTTCCAGCCAGCGTGCAGAACCCGCTTTCCCTCAACATCCGAAAGTGCCGAAGCCCTCAAACCCTGAAACCCTCTCAAATCCTGAAACCCTCAAGCACTAAAATCTGGAACCTTCAAACCAGGTTCGTAAGGAATATGCCAAACCCTAAGCCTAAGCCCTCAACCCCAAAGCTTTGCCCTCAACCTCAAGCCTCAACCTTAACCCTTCGACCACAGAACCCTCAACCCTCAACTCTGAACTCTCAGCCTTCAAGCCTCAACCCCCAACCCGAAGCTGTCAACCCTCGACCCTCAACCCTCCTCAACCCTCAACCTCAACCCTCAACCCTAAACCCTCAACCCTAAACCACCCTAAACCCTCAACCCTCGACTGCAGCCCTCGAGGTGCTTTCTGGGCAGCTGCCCGAAGATTCCCGCGCCTGGGAGGGCGCGGCCTCCGACGCAGTTCGTGCTTATGAGGTTCCTGCGGCAGGGGTTTAGGGGGTTGCAGGGGGTTACAGGAGTTAGTTACAGGAGTTAGTCAGGAGTTGCGGGGGGGACTGGGGATTTAAGGGGTTTAGGGTGTGAGGGCTTTCGGGTTTGAGGGGTTTTGGGGTTCAGGGTTTAGGGTTAGGGAGTTAGGCATTTCAGGCTGGGGCGTTGGGCAAGTTTTGGGGTTTGGGTGCGGAACCTTGGGGGCAGACTTGGTAGAAAGGTAGAAATTTAACCCGAAT